AGAGCTTTTAAATATATTCATGATATCAGGTCCTTATCATGATAATGTATCCTGTTCTGTGGGTTGCCTTTTCTTTAAGAGTATCCTCTGAAATGAACATTTTTAATTTTGATCCCGTCTTTTTCCCTTCAGTTGCTTGTTACAGCTTTAGACGTCTCAGCCAAGGAAACATTGCCTAATCCAACGTTAGCAGTTTCACCAGGATTCTTCCCTAAAGGTGTCATGGGCTGAACTGTCCCCCCTCTCAAGATTCCCATGTTAAAGTCACAACCCCGGAAACTCAAAATGTCACTGTACCTAAGTGTACAGGGCCTTTAACTTGGAAACTTAGGTCACATAAGATCTTGAGAGTAGGCCCTGATCCAGTATGACTGGTATTCTTTTGAGAGAATTTAGACACAGTCCTCAGTGCTGCATGCACATAAGAGAAACCTGTGAGGACACAGAGAGGATGCCGTCTACACAGCACGGGGTGAGGCCCCAGAGAATCCAACACTGGCCGCACCTTGATCCCAGGCTTCCAGTCTCCAGATAAAAGGAAATAAGATGCTGTTGTTTAAGCCGCACGGTCTGTGGTGTCCATTATGGTACCCAGCAGACTGACAGAATGGGTCTCACAGTCGACTCCTTACGCTGGATCCATTTTGAGCTTTGCGTGTAGGGTGAGGAAGGGTCCAGTCCATCCTTTTCCATGTGGATACCCTAGTTGTCCCAGCACCATTGAGTTGTGAAAGGAAAAAAGTAAAGCAACCCTTACCGTCCTTTCTCCATCAACAGATTAGAAGATACACTGAAAAATCGTGGACAATTTTCTCAGTTTAAGCCAGTAGTTTTCAAATTTTTGGGTCTCAGGAACCCTTTGCACTTTATTCAAGATCACAAAAAAGCTTTCTCATCAGGCCGGGAGTGGTGGCTGCTCATGCCTGTAATCCCAGCACTTTGGGAGGCAGAGGCAAGTGGATCACTTGAGGTCAGGAGTTCAAGACTGGGCTGGCCAACATGGCGAAACCCCATCTCTACTAAAATACAAAAATTAGCCTGGCATGGTGGCGAACACCTGTAGTACCAGCTACTAGGGAGGCTGAGGCACAAGAATCACTTGAACTCAGGAGGCAAAGGTTGAAGTGAGCTAAGGTCACGCCACTACACTCCAGCCTGGGTGGCAGAGTAAGAATCTGTCTCAAAAAAAAAAATTAATTTTACAACGATAAAGTCATTACATCTTAACACAGTCTTCAAGAAGAAACCATTTTCCAAAATAAGTAGCAGCGTGGCAACAGTTTGTACTGCTGTGAAAACACCTAACATCTCTGCACCTCAGACAGCAGGGTTCTCATGCCTGCATCTGCGTTCAGTGGGCTAGAGAGCCGTGGCTGAAGTTTATGAAAGAAGTCCGACCCACGCTGATATACAAGTAGAAGCAGTATTTTCATTGTGTTTTCAGATCATTTTAGGTATTCTCTGCTGCCAAATGTAACAAGTGGCACTTCCGTACAGGCTGTCTGCAACGCAGAGACTGCGCTCTGGTCGACGGGCCTTTCTGCCCCAATTCCTTCTGAGTCGACTGGTCCGTCCTGCACTTGAATGGTTTTACCAGCACACGATTTTGTAATCACACATTGGTTAGAAAACACTGGTTCAGAATTATGAGCAACTTCCACATTTCGTTCTATATCAAAAAACAAACAAAAACACATCAATATCACCATTGATCACATGAGAAAGTGGTGGACACAAGATTTTTATATTTTAATACTCATTGGAAAGCTCAAATGTCTTCATTGGAATAATGTAAGGTACTTTCCTTGAGATGAAAGTCATTTTGTTCATTTTTCAGGCCACACCTGCAAATACCTCCATCTGAAGTGGCATCGTTTGCAAGTCATTCTTTCTATAAAGGCGACCGTTAGTGGAAGAAGTGGTTCTGCAGGTTCATAGCTCAGAGGCACCAGTGCTCTCTCAAGATAACCATAAAATCCGCAGAAGACGCACCTGTGCACACTTCCTGTTTCTCACTCAGAACATTCCAGAAGGAACCCTGAATCCCGATGCCGCAGTGGGACTGAAGTTTGCTCTCACCCACACAATAAACCCAGCGACTCCCCCAGCCCCCACCCCGAGGCCACAGCCTTGGTCCTCTGTCTGGTCTAGGAGGGCTCCTGCAGCTCCAGCCTAACAGGGAAAAGCAGGCACCCACATGTCAGAAAGCCCTCCCAAAGCCCGGCGAGCACTTCTGCTTATGTGCCAGCTAAGTGCGTTTGAGACGGATACAACCAGCTGTACGGCAGGCAGCGAGGTACCCAGCAAATACTCAGGGTTCATGTTACTGAGGAAGGAAGGTGAACAGCGAGATACCCAGCAAGTACTCAGGGCTCACGTTATGGATGAGGAAGCCAGGCAGATAATGAGGTACCCAGCAGGGTTCACGTTTCCGAGGAGGAAAGGAGGGTGAAGACAAGGGGGATGGAACAGCCTGTCATAAGCTTTAGCATTTACAAGGCTCACTGAAGATTATCCGATTTGATCTTAACAGCTCACAAGATAGGCAGAGGCACGGCTCTTTCACTTCATAAAGAGATCCCGAGAACTGATGATGACCACGTGCTCTTCCCACAGGCTCCCAGAAATCATTCTCAAATCATCTCTCAGTTGTATACATGTGATAGTATCTCAGTCACGTCCCCTCTCTGCAGGGGAATTTTAATGCCGCCCTGCTGTTGCTTCGCACCCCTGCCCTCTCCTGCATTTCAGCCATGCCCACCATCCATGGGGAGTCTGCACACCCCACCCCGCTGCTGCTGAGGGCTTGGATCACCCTTATCTTTCATTTCCACCTACAGGGACCTGTTCTTCCTTCAAATGCAGCTCAAACTCTCTCATTGTGTGAAGCCTTTTCCAGCCATCACAACCGTCATGTGTAAAATCAGTCTGTGGAATGCTTCATTCAGGAGGTACTTATGTTGACTCATCGGCTGTGATCAGGACCAAATTCTGAGCAAACCAGGTGGTCCCCGCTCCCCAGCTCTGCTCCAGTGCACTTAAAACAAGGATTCCTGGAAGCACCTTTTTAGCCCAATTCACACATGATCTGCCCCACACCCTACAGAAAAGCCCTGGTGGTCGGCGGTCAGGGCTCGGGGCCCCCAGGTGGGTAAGGAGAGCTTAGTGCCCTCTCTGGACTTGTCGCTCAGAGACCCGTGGCTGGAAGGGAAGAACTTGCATCCTGTGAAACATCCAGGCCCCGAGACCCACTCAGGAGCAGAAAATGGGGAAAGAGCCTCGAACACACCCACGGGAGGGTAGACAGCAGGAGCCACGGAGGCCACCAGGAGGGAGGGAGGCAGGCAGTGAGGCCAGAGGTGATGTGGCCAGGAGGGAGTTGATGTCGCCAGAGGTGACGTGCTGTGGGTACACGGTGTGTGGGGAGGAGATGTGGCCAGAGGCAACGTGGCCAGGGAAGGAGACACAGCTGGAAGTGACAAGAGGGGTCTCCAGGCCTCAGATTGTGCCTCATTTTTAGATGACATTTTAATTAAGATGTTATATCTAACTTTAACGAAAAATAGCAATTTAGAACCATTGTGTACATTTAAAGCACGATACAAATAGACCACATTTCCCAAACCAAAGAACAGTGCATTAAAGGAAAAAATAGCAGCTCACCAAAAAAAAAAAAAAAGTGAGTAAAAAAAAAATTTATTTAAGATCAGAAATAAAGAGATCCTACAGCTCTTCTAGTCCAATCCCCACCCTAACGTGAATGGGGGGAAAAAGAAAGTAGATCCTAGTCAGTCAGAATTAAAGACAAAACCGATCCAATTTACCTTCCACTTGACAGAAAACAAGAAGCTCATCAAGGAATCCCTACAAACAGTAGCTTTAGTAGTTCCCAAAATGCAAAATTCACCTACAAATTAAATCAACTGCTAAGTGTGTATAGAGTAATTCTTTTCATTATTGCCTTCCTCATCCCCAGGGGCTTTTTTAGACCTTTTTTCCCCAATTGCCTCCAACACCCAGGAAATTTAAACCCCACAAGTAAACCGTGTCTCGATTCATCCACAGCGTCCTTTAGAGCAGACAGTCCGTTGCTCTAAGACGTTCTTGTCACCTAAGCACCGATTACAGCCTGAGAACGCACAACACGTACTCACACGAACTCTGACAGACAATAGGTGAGATATGGCACATGAGGAGGAAGACAAGATAAATGAGCTTCACCGACACCCCAGATCCGAGAAGTGAAACAGGCAGCCTGCTCGGGTGCAGGTGACTCCTGGAAAACAGCCAAGGGCAGCATTTGGAGAAGCAGCACCGCAGGCCAGGAGGGTCTGGGGGCTTTAGAAGGGAGGGGCGCCCCACCAGGTACTGGGGGATTCAGAAGGGAGGGGTCCCCGACCAGGTTCTGAGGCCTCAGAGGGGAGTGATGCCCCGATCACTTGCTGGGGGCTTCAGAGGGGAGGGCCACCCTGACCTCGTGCTGGGACTTCAGATGAGAAGGCGCCCCGATCGGGTCCTGGGGGCGGCAAGACAAGCCCAGGGTTCCGTCGTCACTTTTCACTCCCTACTTCCGAATCTCGTCCTGAAGTTGCAGCCAGTCCAGGTATTCATTTACCCATAAAATTATGTATCTGCGAGTAACACAAGTCACTAATCCACACAGATCTGAGTCCACAGATACCTCCCAGAGATGCCACCATCCCTTCTGGTAGAAGAGCAGCCCAGGGGCCCACGCTGCTAGGAAGGGAGACTGTCTCCAGCCTGACGCTGCAGAGTCCTCAACACAAAGTCTACCTTCGGGAACATGCCGTCTCCTACAGAAGCAACTAGGGGCATGTAGGGTTTTTTAAAATCTTTTTTGTTCTTATGACAGAGTCTCCCTTTGTCACCCAGGCTGAAGTGCAGTGGCTCGATCTCGGCTTGCTGCAACCTCTGCCTCTTGAGTTCAAGTGATTCTTCTGCCTCAGCCTCCCGAGTAGCTGGGATTACAGGCGCCTGTCACCACGCCCGACTAATTTTTTATATTTTTAAGTACAGATGGGATTTCACCTTGTTGGTCAGGCTAGTCTTGAACACCTCACCTGACCAGCAGTGAGGGTGGAAGGGGCGCCATGTGAGTGCCCCTGAAAACACACACAAGCCTGGCTGCTTAAAAGGAATGAATATAGCTCAACACTCCTATGTGAACATTGATGTGTCTACTGACACAGAATCCTCCTAGCTGAGCTGCAGGAATCTTCCTTGGAGCCTTTTCTCACCTACACTGCCTACAGGTGTCCACTGGGCTCCCTGGGCAGTATCGTGTCTTTGTTTAGAATATCACAGTATTTGGAGGCCTGTTTAATCCCAAGTCAGAGCCTTATCATAACTCAGACACCATCCCTCAGGGCTTGTGGGCCAACTTCGGCTAACGCAGGCTGCTCCACAGTGCCCTGCAGATGGGCTTGGTGCATCCACACGATTTTAAGATTTAGGGCTGCCGTGTTCTGCAGTCACAGATGCGGACTTACATATTCATCATGACTGAAGGCAGCACGTGTTTTTATGTTCCTTCTGTAATGGTAATAATCATGGCAACATTTCCTTGATCCTTAAAAAAGCCTCCTAACAGCAGTTGCATTCCACCCCCTTCCTTAAAATTAATAGAATTTACCAAACTAGGTGAAATCAGTCTTCATGAGAAAGTGACAAATCAGTGTTCACACAATGGCATAGTAGCTGGGCATAGAGTGTACGTCAACATCCCAAACTAAGCACCCATCACAGTTATTCCCAACTCGCAGGAAAGCTAGAAAAATTAGAGGGCTTAAAACATACTTATAAATGAAAATAACAAGAAACCAACGTTTCTGAGGAGCATTTGTTAGCCCAGCAAGGAAAGCCATTAACCAGTGCTGATTATATTGCATTTGATTACAGCAGCCAAAGACGTGTCCAGAGGAAGAGAGTTTTAAAGATTAGTCTTGCGGTAAGAATGGTTGCTTAACAAGTTCACACTACTGGGCTACACCAATCGTCAATTATAAAGCAAGGCAAACGAGTGTGAGTCTTTTTCCTTAATCCTTAATGCGTCAAAAATTACCACATTGGCCAAGCTGGTCTCCAACTCCTGATCTCAGGTGATCCGCCCGCCCCGGCCTCCCAAAGCGCTGGGATTACAGGCATGAGCCACCACGCCTGGCTGAGAAGTGTTTGACAGAGGCTGAGTGGAGGCTCCTGTCCCTTCCTGGGACATCCACATCCCACCCAGTTTCCCATATCGACTATGACACTCGAAGCATCACAGCAAGGGCAGCTGCATCCCCGCAGTTCTCTGCACTAATGCCACAGTTGCGTGAGCAGCCACAGCCCTGGAGCTGCCACTCAGCCTTATCGTGCTGGCACAAGCACAGCAGAAACTACCAAGCCCCCAAAAGAGGGAGGAGTGGGGACCCAGGGGAGTGAACCAGGAAGGAGGAATGCGGCTCAGGAGAGTAGGGAGGTGTGGGGGCCCAAGGCAGTGAACCAGGAGGGAGGCGTGGGGGCCCAGGGCAGTGAACCAGGAGGGAGGCGTGGGGGCCCAGGGCAGTGAACCAGGAGGGAGGTGTGTGGTCCAGGGGAGTGAGACAGGAAGGAGGAGGGAGGAATGAGGTCCGGGGAATGAACCACGAGGGAGGAGTACAGTCTATGGGAGTAGGGAGGAGTATGATCCAGGGGAGTGAACAAGGAGCCTCTAGGGGTAACAAGTTCACACACCACAAATACCTCCCAATCCATCCGCGTGCAGGGAGGGGACGGAAACCACGCAGGACCTGCAGCGCTTTCTCCTCGCAGAAGAGGAGTGAGGATACCGGCTTATGCATGAAATCAGAGCTAAAGTTCTACCACGGTGGGGAGACGCTTCACAGCCCAAATGGGTGCAAAAAGAAACCAATCATACAAGATCAGTGGATGGAACGGGATCAGAAATTTAAGCCTGTAACAAGCTTTCAGAAAAATCTTCACTTGATCTGCAAGATGACTGCAGCTCTGCTTGATCATTTCTGCAAGTGTCTAACTTGTGATGAGCCATCTCAGAGCCGTTCAAGAGGAGTAACAAAATCAAAACGCCAAGGCATGCTCCGTATTTTAGATAGCCTGCAACAGTATGGAAATGAGCAGCGGTGCCAGAGCTTTCAAGTTTGTTTGAAGTAAATTCCAGCATGAGGGCAGCATCTTCCTGGCTGAAGCAATGAGGTGGGCTCCTGCTCACCGCATGGGAGATCAGCTTTCAGCTCAGCTGCTGTCAAGGGTCTGCAAACCATGATCCCCGACTGAGCCTTGGCCAGGGAACCAGAAGTGGTTTTTACACTTTGAAGTTTTAACAAAAGAAATATATGCAGAGACTTCTGTGACACACAAAACATAACACGTTGCCTACCCTGCCCTTTACAGGAGCTTCTAGTTTTGGAGTCAGTTACAACGTGTTTCTATAAAATAATGTCACTGATTCTCAAGCATGTCAGGAAAAGTCACACTTCTCAACAACCCTCAATGGACATGCACCATCCTGTGTGTTTCACACAGATTTTAGTTTTTTAAAAGTCAAAATAAGGGAGGTAATTCAGCTAAGTATTATAGTAACACAATTTGAGATACTTAATGATGTGTGACAACAGAATAATTGGCATTCCTGTGACACAATAAACTAGCTGAAACAAAAAATAACAAATCAAAGCATGTTTTGGCATCTCAAAGTGATCAGTGAAATTGGCAATAACATTCAGTTAAATGATACTTTAAAAAACAAAAAGCAAAAACAAAACAAATACCACTAAACCATCACTCCTTAAATGTATTTACCTACTGCTGCAAAATAAAGTGGAGAGACTTCTTAGTGCAGGGTAATAATCAGCCATCGTCACCATGAAAGAGACCACTGTGCAGGCTCAGGCCCTCCAGCCCACAAAGGCAGGGGGAGGGAGCAGAAACGATGGCCAGAAAGAAAGGGACAGGGCAACCATGACCTACTCAGCAATTGTACCCTCCCACCTTTCTTGTGGACTTACAATTTTGGAGCCATCTGGGTTTACCTTCCTATGTCCATAAGTCAGCAAGTTCTCGAAGCCAGAAATCTACAATGCTTCTGGCCGCCAAGTCCTCTCGGCCTTCCCCCATGTTTTAGGGCCCCATCAGCTCACCCCTGAATAGTATCAATGGCCACGGAGATCCAGTCAACCTTGCACTCCACAGACTGAAGTATGCCAAGAGCCACTCGAGGCTGCCACTGCCATGATTAAAGGTTTTCAGAGACAGTCGCCAGCACTGCACAAGTCCATGTGGCTTCACCAGGCGCAAAGCGGCTCCAGCATTCCATCCAGTCTGTCGCTGCTACCATAGCTGTGAGTCTAGGATGTGTCAGGAAGGGAAGGAAGACACCATGTAGATCATCTCATTTAAGCTTCAATGTCACAAGGTGGATTTTGTTGTGCCCGTTTTATGGATCGGGAAAGCTTTAAGGAGGGCAAGCACAGGGCCCTGCTGACACAGCAGCAAGCTCCGCAGAGGCCTGGGCATGACCCCCGCCCCACGCTCCCTGGGTCCTGATGTCCACTCCTCCCCCGTGGGAGCCTGATCCTGAATCTGCCTGAATTGCTACCATTCCTAAGACACGACTCATGTCTGCCCACCTCCTCCTTTATCTGTTTCCCCCAGCCCAGAGGCGTGTGCTCTTCCATCCAGCCAGACATCACGCTTCAGCACCTGCACCTGACACCACTTCAGCCAAAAGCTTCTCTCAAACCTCCCCCAACACCTGCCGGTCACACAGGTCTGCACCCATCGCCTTTCTCAGACGAATTCTCACATATTCCTGTGTAGCACCATCCAGCTGATTATAGTCTGAGAGGAGGAAGCTTCGTAGAGAAGTCCACATTCTACTTTGCTCCCAGCATTCCGTCTTGCATGAGGCAACCGATTAACAGCAAATTCATTTCAGCACAACATTTCCATTTGAAGAAAAGCAGGGCATAGAACTCTGGTCATAATTAAAAGCTTGTTTCGTTCGTCGTTTGAAATTCCATGTACTGCTGCAACAGCAGCACCCCCTCCTCGCCAGGCTCTGCCTAAAGGACATCATTCTTCCAGCGCACGACTCCCATCAGAACCCCCGCAGCAAGAGCCACGCAGGTTTCCCAGTGCCTCCGGCTGTGGCTTCCATGCTAGGCCAGCACTGACACGATGGGAGTGGTGTCCCTAACAACTACAGGATCGGAAGCTGGCCGACTGCTCTATAGAATGCAGACATGTTAGTAATCACTGACAGTTCCACTGACAGGCTGCTCAGCTAAACTGGGAAAACTCCACAAAATAGAAAGAACCCATGGGGAGCACTTCTCTCTCCAACCTGGCAGCAAACGGTGGCTGTGCAGACGACCTCTTCGGGATAACCATCGACTGCATCTCAGGTCAGCAACAGCCCCGCTGAGGGCCAAAAAATCAGCTCCCCCCAGCCCTAACTTCCTAAGGGTCAGCCCTCCCAGGCCACCTCTCCTGGAAGACCAGCTCTGACGCACCCATGACGGTCAGGAACCGACTCTGGGACTCATTTCCCAGGCTCCTGCCCACCGCCCTCTCTCTTCTTCCTCCTCCTCCATCTCCCTCTTCACTCCCATCCTCCCTCCCACTTTCACTTCCCTTCTCTCCTTTCCTCTCCCTCCTTCATTTCCTTTCAGTCCTCACCTTCCTCACTGCACTTCCCCATCCAACTCAGCTGACGCATTCTCAGGTCAGTAGAGGGTTTTCTTTCACTCTATGTTTTTATTGCAACGATCATTCTTAATGAACAGAAACCTGTTTCGGACCATGTGGATGCCACCTCATGACCAACTGCTGCCCCGCGGCCCCGTGTCCACTCAGTGTCCTCACGGCACAGGTGCCCAGTAGTATGGCTGTGACCAGGGGTAGCAACATGGGACATGGGAGAGGTATCCCAGCCAAAAGGCTCTGCAAAGCCTCCCCAGCAAACCGGAGCAAGGCCCAGGGCGGTAGGGAGAGCGCTGTGCTCATGCTGTAGGCAGTTCAGCTTCTGCAAACTGTCCATGGACTGCAAATTACTTTGTTTCCATGGTTACAAAAGAACCATAAGCATTCTGAAATATGTTCTTGGTTTCATGTTTGCGAAATCTAAGCAACATCATAAGAAAAATCACTGAATTCTGTCCGAGGCTCTAGGGGTGTTTTCCTCTCTGAAAGGAGCCCCTTCCGGGACTTGGGATTGAGTGACAGCCTTCAATCACGGTTCTCCTGGTGGTAACAGGGAACTCCTCAGCCTGCTGGGAGCTGGGGCCCTCGACAGCCTCATGGCTCCACACGCCAGGGTTCTAAGGATCACACGTGTGCAGATAGCAAAGCTTGCTGCACACACGCCAGGTGCTAACAAGCCCCAAACTTCTCACTCATACTTGCTAACTACATCTCTTCTCCCAGCCTCCATGGCGTTTCACACTCTGCCTTTATATAGAGATGAACCATGCATCCTGAGTGCTACAAAGATTCACCTCCTTCCGGGCAGAAGGGTGCATCTTTCCATCACGGGGTCTTCACGCGAGCCGGCCCAGGATTTGCAGAGTGGGTGAGTCTAACGTTGATGATACTTTCTCAATATTCCCTTCACACCCTTCCAAAAACAAGAGTACTGCCAGCTTCTTACCGAGGTTGTAATGAGCAAAATATTTTTCTCTTATTTGTCACTTTTTAATGTAATACTAGTGAAGAATGTGACTCTACATGTACACTGTAAGCACCCACACCGTGAACATTCTGCTCTCCCGTGACTGTATTCACAGGTCACAAGGACAAAACTTCTCCATAGTAGCCAAAATTTATTTATTTATTTATTTATTTATTTATTTATTTCTGTTAACATGACTTCCACTCATCTGAAAGTCACAGAAGTGGCTTTTCCTTCATAAAAAGATCCAAAGGATCCACAAGCCAGGTTTAATAAACATGTTGGTCCAGGTAGGAAAATGACCCCTCAGTCTCCCTCCCCTCAAAGACCAGGGCAGCCAGGAAACTGCGCTCTCCAGTCAATGACAGCCGGCAGGATTCCCTAAGTAAGCAACCGGAAGATTCCCATCTCGCAGAGCGCGCCTTTCAAGACAAAGAACATACTACCCAACTGAGGACTGAGGCAGTAAAGAAACATGTTTTCGGCCGGGTGCGGCGGCTCACGCTTGTAATCCCAGCACTTTGGGAGGAGGAGGCAGGCGGATCACAAGGTCAGGCGATCGAGACCATCCCGGCTAACACGGTGAAACCCCCGTCTCTACCAAAAATACAAAAAATTAGCCAGGCGTGGTAGCGGGCACCTGTAGTCCCAGCTACTCGGGAGGCTGAGGCAGAAGAGAGGAGTGAAGCTGAGAGGCAGAGTTTGCAGTGAGCCAAGATCACGCCACTGCACTCCAGCCTGGGCGACAGAGCGAGACTCCATCTCAAAAAAAAAAAAAATAAAAAAATAAAAATAAATAAAATTTAAATGTGTCCTCATGTTTTGGCCTTTGAGACAAAGCCTCTTATTTAATCGAGTTCTGACTGAATTTGACTCACAGTACTCTGGCAGATTCTTCATTCTCTGGTGAGATAGACGAATGTCGCAGGGTGAGGGCAATGCCAGCCCTTTCAGGGTCAACTTTTTGAGGAGTGATGTCTGGCAGAACACAATCCAACACCATAGTAGGATCCCCCACCCAACAACTTAGACGCTTTCTGGTACTTACTCTGTCTGCTTGTTTCCCTTTCTTGAATTCAGCTGGGGGAAAAAAAAAACAAAAAAATCAAAACCAGAAACGAACAGCCCATGTGTTTTTGTGTCTGAAAAGTTAATACATCCACATCCAACTTTCTAAATGAGACCACGGCAGGTATGATGGTCACCGAACAGTGGCCACTGTTGACAAAATACAAAGTCTTCTACAAACATGAACGAGTTTCTAGCAATACAAAAGTCAAGGGAATTTACTCCACATATTAAAGCTGTCAAGGGTGCTCATCAAAAATGTACTTAGAGGTTTTCCTTTAAAGTTATTTTTGAAGATTTTTAAGTTGCAATACTTAAAAGCCTCTGGGAAAAGAAAGGATACAGGTATCTGGAAGATCTATACTAAATGATTTTCATGTCTTTTTTGATAAAGTTAAATAAGATCAGCCTTGAAGTAATGGGTTCCACTACTCTGAGGCTGTGGATGGAATCCACACCACGAGACAATTGAATAAACAGCAAGGCTGCACACACAGGACGCAGGCAGTGAGCCAGCCTGACTAGTCATGTTCTGGGTCAGTTCTACCCAGTTCTGCCCAGGCCCCACTGGAGATGAAAACCTGCCCTGTAGAAGCCTTCAATCCCCACCTTTCAAAATCTAATCCTCAACTGAGGCCCAAGTCCAAAAATCTACTGAAATCTTAGCCCGCGTTAGACCAGCTGTCCCCCAGCCTTTTTGGCACCAGGGATGGGTTTCATGGAAGACAATTTTTCTGGGGGCTGGTTTTGAATTGCAACTGTTCCACCTCAGGTCAGGTATTGGATCCTCATAAGGAGCACCTCCGAGATCCCTCACATACAGTTTACAATAGGGTCCCAGCGCCTAGGAGAACATGCGGCTTACAAGAGGGTCCCAGCGCCTAGGAGAACACGCGGCTTATGATAGGGCCCCAGCACCTAGGAAAACATGCGGCTTACGAACAGGTATTATATCTAGGAGAACAGGTATGAAATGAATTGGTAAAGCCAAAATCCACCGGATCTACCACTTCAAAACAAACACCACTGTCCAATATTGATGTGAGCCAAAAACATGGAAGTCCTGAGGGCCCACACTGACCACAGCCAGACACCACTTCTACAAGAAGCAAGCACGCGCCTAGAGATCACCCGTGATGACCCAGGAGAGCAGTTTGAGCAGAGACAAATGTGAAGGAGAGGCATATAGGCCAGGGTGCTGGTTGTGCCCGTCTTTGTGACCTCACTGAGATTGCTGACCTCTAGCCCTTGGTGTCTGTCCTATGGAGGAGGTAGCCCCCAAATCCCTGCTTCCCTTCAGCACTGACTGAGGTGGCCCTGAAGTCTCCCCAGGGCTGAGACTGCTTCTAAATCCTGTTAACTGCACATCCACATAAAAAACAAAATATCAAGTATGCAGACAGGAAAACAAAAATACGTGAATCCTCCCTTATTCAACAGGCATTTAAAAAGTATCAGGAAAATTGTGATAGGCTTTAAACCACCACCAGCTATCACGTCCTGTTGACATGTTTTAGCTAATCAGGAACATCTTTACCAAGCACCTGTGTGTTCAGGAAATCAGTTGACAGGTCCCAAATAACCTCGGAGCCTGCGACCTGACCCCCACTCACGCACATCACCTCCCCAGAGGAACGAGCCCTGGACACCTTTCAAATGGTGAGGAACAGGAACAAGGGTAGCTTTCCCTCAACACCACAAAACAAGCTCGACCCCGAGGAGCCCGGAGAACAGCGACGTTTGTTTAGATGCTTTCCCACTGACCTTGTCAGAGGGAACGTTCCCACCCCACACCGCCCAGTGTTTTACTCTCCCTGGAATACCAGCAGCCATCAACTCTCAACAAGCTGGAAACAGAGGCCAAGCTGACAGGAGGCCTCTCTCCATTCCCTACTGAATTCGCTCAGGACACGGATGTTCCCAAACACACACGGCCCCGAGTATTCCACACCTGGAGAACATTCAAACAGACGCTGCAAAGACGTTCCCCTAAAGAGAAACTCAGTTTCTAACTTCCCTTAGGGAAAAATATGAGATCCAGAACTTTCCAAAAAATCAAGTGTGGGATGAAGCCACTCACCTCTGGCACTTCCTAACCTTGCCTTCCCACAGGTGCTCAGGCATGGCCCCGTGACAGCCCCGTCCACCCAGGATGGCAGCAGGCCTCAGGCAGCCAGCACCTGGGCAGCTGGTGAAGCAACCCCAGGGTGAAAACGGCATCCCAGGCACCACTTCCCGGAGCCCCTCAGCAAGAAAAACAGAGGCGGGACAGAACTGAGGGCTGACTTGAGGCTGGGGAGCCACAGACCCACACAGCTCAATCATCAGACATGCTCTTCTGTGGACAGAGCCCAGGGTGAGGCCAGCACAGAGACTCTCGTGCCGGCTCCATGAACCAGCGTCCTCCAGGGCTGCAAGTTTGTGATCACAGCTTCAGAATTTGGTTCCAGAATCTTCCGGAATCAAAGACACACCAAACTGGAAAGCTGCCAGGACAGCAGGGCCCAGGAGCAGGCTCAGGGGAGGACCACGTAGAAACCCCACACACAGCACACACATATGCATGCTTACTCCACACATTCCACCCCTTCACCCAATACTAGACGTGCAAACGCATGTATGCACTCCATACACACCCTCAAATACACTCACCAAATATGATGCGTGTACACACTCCACACACACCCTCAAATACATACGACACACATGAACATGCTCACTCCACCCACACCTGCTAAATACACTCACCACACACGCACAAACGTGACACACCTGCACACTCATTCCAGACATCACACCCCTCACCAAGTACACAGGTGCACACAACCCCAAGTCCAGAACCTGCAGACTCCACAAGCTTTGGTTTCCCCCACTGTTTCTCTCATCACATGAGATCCACACACAGGTGTCATTTACTGACATCTAACACCCGGGGAGGCCCTTAGACAGAACTGCAGTCACAAGTCGACTTCATTCAGGCATTCATCACCAGCCTCCTGAAGCCATCTCCTGTCCCTATGGGGAGCGGGGGCCGAGACCAGAGACGACACTGGGCTTACAGATCCCCAGGCTGGCAACCCAGAGAAATCAAGAGGGCTCGGCCACGGCCCTGGAGGGAGATGGGCACTGAGTGCTCAGGTATGCGAAATATGAGTCCTCATTTCCATACAGTGTCACCTACGACAGCATCAGGTGAAAGCCAGTGGTTTGGCATTCCTGGGATAGACAGTCCTGGAATTACAAGGGAAGCTTTTTACTCCTCCCCTCTGAACACATGAGGTCCTTGGTCCCCTCATATCTAACACTGGGAATCCGAATCGGTGACTCCTTGTCCACCTGAGGACCACCCAAGAGGATCCACACACTTGCTACAACAGCAGCACTGCACCTGGTCTGCAGGGGAGCAAAGCAAATCCCACCTTTATGACTAAAACTGGATTACCCCGACACTGGCAGCCTGCAGTGTGTATATCGTCAAGCTCCCACATCTGCGCCACCTGCAAGAGGAACACAAGCCCTTAGTCCCAGGTTCTCAGGACGGCCTGTGAGGCGGATGCTGGTACCCTTCTCATCTCCCAGTGGAGAGGAGAGAAGGCCAGGGTCAGAGCTGGTGTATCAGGAGGGTCGGGGTTCAAACCCCATCTGCCTCACAAAGCAGCCCTTCCCGTTCAAGTGACTTCTATCATCAGCCTTAAAATGTACCACAGTTACCAGCAATTCTGAGTGCTGTTCCTTGGGACGTCAGAAGCAAACATTTTGTTAGAAAGATTTTGCCAAGTCTGCTTTCAAAATCCTGTGTTATGAAATGACTAATGAAAATTTGAGCTATGAAATAAAGCACATAGTTAAATGAATCCCAAAATGACTATCGCGAAGGAAGTTTTAATTTGAAGTGAAAAATATCCTCTAAATGACATCAGCCAGAATTATCATCAATCATTACTGATCCCATATGCTTCATGAATTATACAGCATCATCTCAGATATGAACTTAAAACCGTTAGCTGAATGCACATTTCACCGCAACCAAAGTTCTGCTATAATAAGTAGCACAGGCGTCTCTGGAGAGGATTTTAATTGAGACTACAAACAATGCGCATGATCGTGGTAAGAGGTTTCATGCTGGCTGTTCTCCAAGGTGCAACACAGAGAAACACCACTAACCTCAAAGAAACCTGCTGCTCTGTAATGAGATGAGAGATGAGAGATGATGTGGACGGACTACTGTAAATATTTGAAAAGGAGAAACATTGCAAGGAAAGAATCGTATCAGTTACCCTTCACATTCTTAGAAAAAAAGGTTTTTCTTTTGGGATGATTTAAAAAGAAAATGACATTTCTGGATTTTTTTTTTTTAACTTTTCTTTCTGAGACAGGGTCTTGGCTCTGTCGCCAAGATTGGAGTACAGCGGAGCAATCGCAGCTCACTGTAGCCTTAAGTGATCTTCCCACCTCAGCCTCCAGAGTAGCAGGGACCACAGGCACGCACCACCACACTCAGCTAATTTTTCTGTTATACAGATGGGGTCTTGCTATGTTGTCCAGGCTGATCTTCAACCCCTTCACCTCAAGTGATCCTCCTGTCTTGACCTCCCAAAGATTTAGCCTAAGCGACCACTTCTTATCGGAAAACAGACATTAGAGCAAATGCATTTCTATAAGATTTTCTACCTCTTTTCACTGGGGAAAAAGGTAACTTGCCTCCAAGGGTTGGAGACAAAGACGTTACTGCAGACAAGAGTGCTGTGCATCCCAGGAACCACTACACCACGAGGCACGGCCGTGCACCCTGGATGCCGGAGTAGCACATGAGGCTAGCACAGGCCGACGCCGGCCCTCTCCAGAAGCAGGCCTATCCTTCCCTCCTCTCCTCAGCCCCCTCTCCCTTCAGGCCTCAGTGGCTGCTGACAGGGGAGAGGCCACAACTAGAGGAGGCTCTCAACTCCACCAGGGACAGGAGCCCCGGACGCTGGGGACTCAACTGCTGCCCTCCGTGCCCACCTCCTTCTGGTTCAGCCTTCTCAGGAGTCAGGCGTGGCCACTTTGACCCTCTTTCCCTTCTGTGGCTCCTACAAAAACCAGTCCAGCGAGCCCAGGCTGCCTCACACACCAGGGACACCTGGCACAGGCCCCCTCCATGTCCTTATCCAAGCTCCTGGGGCCAGAAGGGTCTTGCAATATTTCACTTTCCAGTTGAGCATCCCCAGCCTGAAATCCAAAGTGCTCTGAAGAGTATTTCCTTCGAGTGTCATGGGAAAGCTCGGAATGTTTCAGGTTTCAGAGCATTTTGGAGTAGGGACTCTCAGCCTTAATTTGAACCTCTTCAAGGAAGCCACACACTGAAGCCCCCGATGTCCACCCTACACAATCCCAGCACACCCTCTGAAGTCCTCAGCAACAGATTTTCTTTCTTCAAAAATAACCACAAGTCACAAACTCACACGCAATCACAGAAGGGGGTTGTGGACACCCGCACAGACGATGAAATTTAACTGTCACATTTTTACCTGGGTAATTTAAAGTCATTCCTCAAAACACACCTGTTTTACTGAGTTGCATTTTAAGGTGAACACACACAAATCATTCCAGGGAAACAAACGTCTCTTTGGGCTGCGTGTGGTTTCTTGACTCCCGTGAATAACTCAGCGTTCACCCTCACTTCTGGATAAGGGAGACGATGCAAAGAAATCTGTTAAAATAAAGACATGAAAACAAGTTTAAGAAGGGTTTGAAAGGTTCCTCCTGTCCCCCCGGAGGGGAGAGGAGGACGCCTGGAAAGCTCATGGGGGACAGGAGCACAGCCTCCTCGGTGTGCCATGGACGCCACCTCGCCAAGCCTCGGAGAGGATGATGCCTGGAAGACTCACAGGGGTGGGAGCACAGCCTCCTCAGTGATTTCTACACTCAGCAGCTTCAGAAATTCCCGTAGAAGCAGAACACATGAGAATTGAGACTGGAACACCCCAAAGAAAGGGGACGAGGGGTCAAAAAAAGCATTCGATCATTACCAAGGAGCGCGGGCATGAAGCCGCTTCAAAGACCGTGTGAGAAGTCACTCATAGGCGTTTCAGAAAATAAGGGTAGTGCGGGATTGCTCGATTAGCTCAAACAGGCTGCCGTCCCTCAGGCCATGAAGTCCCTGAGATGAGCCTCTCACTGAGCGAAGTCACTCGCATCTCTGCCAGAGAAAGTACTACAAGCCGACACATAACGTCATGAAACCTGGGCTTCAGCCCGTCGACAACAGTGAGTCTGACACGGTACATCCCTCCAGATGGTTAAAGACCCCAGGGGTTCATCAGACAACCTCGAAGGGCTGTGTCTGTCCTTTTCCAAGTTCTGGATGATTTTTCCTAATGTACTATAAGTAGCATGTTCCAGTAGAGACGCAGTTAACTGACTCTGGGTCCTCTTAATTTTGAAATTAGAAACACACTTGGCCAGGCACAGTGGCTCATGCCTGTGATCTCAGTACTTTGGGAGGCTGAGGCAGCTGGACTGCTTAAGTCCAGGAGTTCGAGTCCAGCCTGGGCAACATTGCAAAACTCCATCTCTACAAAAAATACAAAAATAAGTCAGGCATGGGGACACGTGGAACATGTGCCTGTGGGTCCTGGCTACCCAGGAGACTGAGGCAGGAGGATCGCTTGAGCCTGGGAGGTTGAGGCTGTAGTAAGCTGTGCTCACACCACTGCCTGGGCAACAAAAAGGGTTTTTTTGCCTGTCTCAAAAACATCAAAGAGATAAAGAATTATATACCTGACTAGGCCAAAATAAAAGAGGCTTTGTGGAACGACCTGAAACACAGGTGCAAATTCTGGAAGGGCCTCCCCTGGCTTGATTTGTGGCGAGTGTAGGACCACTCTGAAGGATAGCACCCCAGGCATCTTCCGATACTAGACCTTACAGTACAACTTCCCGTCGCTGGACAGAACACTGGCCTTGGAGCCTGGGACACCCTGGGGCAGTGCCACCATCCGGAGGCCGCCATGGCACAAGGAGCCCCTACCATCATGAAGCCTGGGACGTCCATCAGAGCAGTGCCACCCACCTGAGGCCGCCATGCCAGAGGAGCCTGGACATCATGAAGCCTGGGACATCCTGGGGCAGTGCCACCAACCTGAGACTGCTGTGACACAAGGGGGCCCTGGTGCCACTGAGAGGCTACACAGCAGGTCCAGGCCCAGGCCAAGAGTGAAGAGGCTCCATATCCTTTCCATCCCTCTAGCTGAGTCCACAGACGTCTTGGAGCAGAAGTGCATCACCCTCAATGTCCACGGGTAAGTTTTTGGCCACAGAATCTGGAAGCATAAAAGATAGTTCTGGGCTGGTTGGTTGCCAGCTCGGACCTGTCCTCTTTCTACACAAAACCTGGCTCACACCAAGCAGCGTCTAAGTCCTGGAAGACCTGCTAAACACAAGTGCAGCTACAAAGCGGAGAAACTGGAGGGGGCCGGGCTGTGCTCCAGTGGCACCAGCGTTTCTCAGGAAGACCCCGGGGGTTACAGGGTCCAGGACAAAGGCTTCCTGGGATCCAGGACATGGAACAAGAACCCATTCCCTGGTCCTGTTGAATGTGAATCGTCTAAGGGCCGATTCCCTCCCTCGGAGGACTGAGCACCGCCCCACAACACATACCAAGGTAATAACAAGCCCGTTACCAGCAAGAGGCTGGTGATGAAGACGTGAGGACCAGTTGAGCATGAGGGATCCTGACAGATCATCCCTGGCACCGAACAAGGGGCAGACAGCACCCCCTGTTCCTGACGCATCAGTCCTGGCACTGAGCGAGGGATGGAAGCACGGCCTGTGCCCCTGCAGATGCAGAGGGATGTGAGGGGGGCGCAGGCTGGGCTTGGAGGCTAACTCAACCACCTGCGCTTGCACTTCCGTTCCTCAAGGCGGGGAGGCGAGGCACAGGCAACATTAGGGCTCACCTTGCACCTGGGCTGCACTTTTTTCTGCTTATGACTTGTGCTCGCTTTACATGGACAGGCATAGCTATAATAACGGTTCCCTGATTATTTCGCTGCCTACATAAAGGGCTTTCAGAATTCACCTCCATCCTTAGGAAAGGAGGCCAACACCAGGCTGTCTCCCTTAAGATGCAATGTCTCATATGGGGAAAAAAAAATCAAGAGAAATCAAATAAAGGCCATAAAATACATCAGTTTCAACATTAAAATTTAATAGTACGCTTTAAATTGAAGATGAGTTAAGTCACATTTCCAAACCTCTGAAAGCACGGTTACTGGGAGGGAGTGATTTGCAACACACAAAGGCAGCTCTGTAGAAGGGCCCAGGCTGGATGAGGGCTCAAATGTCAGTGCAAGGAGAAAGTCTGAACAAACTCTCTCCTCCCTGCTGCTGTCCTCTTCCAAAACACATGGTTATCTGTCAGTTTAGAACAAGGCCTAGGGAGGTGGGAGGCAGGCCTGGGAGGGTCACCTAGCAACCAAGCTCCTCACCCACACAACCGTACCAGGCTGAGCTGAGCAGCACACACAAACACGACTAATTCTCCCCAGAAGCAAGACGGAAGGCAGCACACTGCCACGCCAGGCGTCCTGCAGGTGAGAAGACTGAGGGGAGCCAGAGGTACCTTTAATCTTACTTGCATGGTGGAAGGAGAGGAATAATGCCACTCACTTGAGTGTTGCACAATGCTTTCTAGCAGTGAGTGGCAGAAAACAAAAATTATAGATGCTTCCTCAGACAAATGTTTCTGAAGAACTGAACATAAATTATGTTCAGGAAATAGCATTATGAATGCCTCAAGTGCTTTTGTTTTTAATAATCCCAGAGTAATTCTATAAACCCGGGAATCAGTCTCACCCAACTCCAGGATCACGGCCCAGGTGACGTGGGCACACACATCCTGAATCTCTAATGCTCAACTAAAGTGGGGCGAGTGAAAATGATCCTGGGTATAATTTACACAGACACAGGAAGGTGGCTGAGCCCCAAACCCCTAAACCAGGAAGACCAGCGTCCTTCAGGGGCCTCACCTCTGTCCTTTCCCAGCCTCTGGGAACCACCACTCTGCTCTCTACTGACACAAACGCCCCTCCAAGGTACAACCATCTGACCTGGCTGGATCCAAGTATCCAAGTGCAGGATTGTACGTCAGCCCCGTGAAGCCAGGATTACAGCCACTGAATGGCAGTTTTCCATCCCACGGCAACCGGCTTTGCTAGGGGCTTCCTCGGGGACCACTGACCTCACGCCACTACCCCTCAACTACTTCAACTAACGTGCATCATGGCAGAGGCCTCTCCAGGCAGACCAGCCCTGCCCGAGTCCTGCTTCATGGCAAACCCTCCAGGCAAACGTCCTTGGCCTCCTCCGGGAGGCTGTGTTCGGAAGGTGTCCTCATTTACTTCTGTGGCTCTCAGACATTTAACTGGAGCCCAACACACTTCTTCTGTTCACATAGTATTAACAGATTTTTATGAGTCAATTTTCACTGGGAAAAACACCATTTCAGGAGCCCCAATGACCACAATGAAAATGTTTTTACCTCCCCTTACATGACATCGGCAACGCCAGGTCCAGGAAACGTTCTGGATCTCAGATAATGGCATATCCACTCATAGTAAGTCTTTGTCTTGTTTCACAAGGTATCAAATGCTGCCCAGAAGCAGGAAAAACCCCACAACGTGGCAAGGAAGGGCGACCAGCGTGAGTTCTAAGGCCAGACCACCCGGGTCTGCTGACAGCGTGGCGAGGGGCAAACAGTGCAGGGTCTAAGGCCAGACCACCCGGGTCCCGCTGACGGTGTGGCTTCAGGAGTTTCCTAAACCCTCTCCTCTCCAAGTTTCATGTCAGAAAAATGTGGTGATAACCGTGTCCACCTCGTGGGATGACGGGAACACACACAGTAACAGTGTCAGCAGGTGGCTTGCTGGGCACCTGGTGAGGCTACACTGCTGTAGGTTGCCCCACGTGAAATCCAATTCGTTTAAAAATATATATACATATATATACCCCAAACCTACAACCTATAAAGCTCATTAATCCTAGTTATCCTCAAGGCATTGAGCTATCAATAATGAGCCATCCCCCTGCTGCTGACCTGCCTCAGCCCCACCCTCCGGAAACCCCGCATCCACACCAGCCACACAGGATGAGGCCAGGGAAGGAGCAGGACTGTGTCTTGGGAACTTAAACTCTGGAAGCTGAGTTAAATCAGTGTCGCTCAAATCTTGTCACCAACTATCTTGTTAAATTGGGAGATTCCATCTCTGGGGATCTTGAGGGAATCTGAGGCTCTGCATTGAGTGAGGTGAGCACTCGTGCTGGAATGAGATGGCAGAGAAAGCAACAGAATCTGGGGTCACAACTGCCTGAGACTTGGGTCCCACCGGGAAAGTGGCATCAGGGCCCTCAGGACAGTGGCAGAGATCCCAGGAGGCAAGTCCCCACGCAGAGACTCATGGACCTAAAGTTTGCTCCAGGGCCAGGAGGGGCTGTTGCACTGACAGCCACGAGGCAGGCAGCCTTCGAGCTCTTCCAGCTGCCATCCGGCAGGCAGGGAGGACAGTGCCCAGACCACTCCGGGGCTTCCCCAGCCTGCCAGGCTGGTACTCTTACTCCAGCCACTGACAAGAGTCCCCATGTTTCAAGCTAGGTTGAAACAGTGCCTCAGGCCTCGGGGCACATGCACCCCCCTGCAGGGCCACTCCTACCCAACACCTGGGGATGGCTATTCCCACACATCCCCAACTCACAGCAAAACTTAAAAATGAAAGTCGGAACATACAGCCAGGAAACCAATGCTCAGGGTGACTCTTCCTAGAGCCATTGCTACTGAACATCTTTAAAAACATTTCCAGGGTGACTTCCTAGAGCTATTGTTGTTAAAAATCTTTCAAATTCTTCATTTCAAAATTAGCTTTTATTACACTGTCTTCCCTATTCTACCAAGACTCTAGAAAACAAAACCATTATAAATTCCAATTCTATCTTATAGGAAGTTAGAAATACACATGTTTCTTCAAAGGATTCTACATGTTTCCTTGGCAATATCCTTTTCATGCCCCATGCTACTGCCCACAATAGGAAATGCTTTTCCAACCCCACAAAACTCAACCCAACCCAACCCAACCCAAGGGCCCTGAGACAGGCCCCTAACGAATCGTCTACCAACTCCTGAGACAGGCTTGCCCTAATGAATCATCTGCAAACTCCATCTTCCATTAAAAACAGTACTGAAAATGAGCATATTACTGCTTTTTAAAAATTGCTGTAGAGCGGACCAGGTGATTTCAGTTCATTCCTGTTGCAATTTTCCAGCCACAAATATATTCCCATCATACCATTCCATCACCCGATCCTCAATCCACTAAACAGAATCCAGTTTCTAACACAGCTTCTCTAGTAAATACCCAGGATTGGGGTCACAGGGCCCCACGTTTGTGTGAGTTCAGTTTTGCACTTCTGTGATTCTTCAGTTATTTCAGGCCATCTGGGCGTATATACGTGCAAGTCACAGGAGATGCGATGGCTTGGCTTGGGCTCACAGGCCTGACGACTATAGTCTTTACTTTTAAGGTGTGGGGTAAGACCATATAATCCCCAACTAGGCTCCTGATGCTGTGTGTGGTATCCAGCAACAGCACGTTCCATTCCTGGATTACATTTGACTCAAGAGTCCACAGTGAGAACGATTTCTGGTGAAGGAAACACCAGGCAGGAGGGTGATTCCGCTGGGCAGCTCTTCACACACAGCCCAGGAGCTGGGGGAAGAGGAAGAGGCCCACGCGCGTCTACCGTGCTCACGTCCCCTTGGAATGCCCCCCACTCCTAGAGGCCCGGACCCAAGGGAAATCTGACCTGAAAATGGGCAAACCCTCACTTTGGCAGACGGACAGGGAGTCGGGGCCACAGCTTGACCTCAGAGCAACACAAGTGCAGACACAGCACCCCAGGACACCCTCCCCACCCAAATTCAAGGAGGAAAACCAACGCCCCGCTCCTTGCGGAAACCCCCGCGGCTGCTGCAGCAGACGCCTGCCCGCGTGTGAAGCCTCTCCCGTCCCACGTTCCGGGCTCAGCACCTGTGCCTCAGCCCTGGCACTCCTCGCCACACCCACAGGTGTGCCAGGAGGGGCACGTTCCAAGATCTCCACAGCACCAAAGCCTGCAAGGCAAAGGGGCCGCTCCCTCCAGCAGGAGTCCAGAAGCACACACTGCACCAGCGGCAAGGCGTGAGAATTCTCCCCTCGGTCTCCAAGTCTCCAGTCTGTTGCCCGCCAGGGTCTTCTGCCAACGGCGAGGCCCAAGCTGCGAGGCACATTTGGTTCTCACCATTTCCCTTGTCAAGATCAATACTACAAACATATCCAATTCATCCTGTCACTAAAAATGAAATAATCTGCCATCTCCATCACAGATGACCCAATCAGGTTTCCATTACCGGGTTTTTTTTTTTTTTTTTTTTTTTTTTTTCTTCCTATTTTGAGATGGAGTTTCTGCTCTGTCGCCCAGGGTCGAGGGCAGTGGCGCGATCTCGGCTCACTGCAACCTCTGCCTCCCGGGTACAAGTGATTCTCCTGCCTCAGCCTCCCAAGTAGCTGGGATTACAGGTACCTGTCACCATGCCCGGCTAATTTTCATATTTTCAGTACAGACGGGGTTTCACCATGGTGACCAGGCTGGTCTCAAGCTCCTAACGTCAGGGGATCCACCTGCCTCCTCCTCTCAAAGTGCTGGAATTACAGGCGTAAGCCACCACGCCCAACCATTACTGGTGTAATTTCTAAGCCACTCTCTCACACCCACTCCCTTTTTTTTTTTTTTTTTTTTTTTTTTTTTTTTTTTTTTAAAGAACCAGCTTTATGGCTATATTTTTTCCAAGAGAATCAGTTACCCCATTTGAAGTACAAATAAGACATCGGTGTTTAAAAACCAAAAATGCCCATTTGCACAGAAGTCTCCAAATACCCAGTCGATTTGAGCCTTGAGAATAAGATCAAGCTGTTGGCTGAATACAACTTCCCTTTCCATCTGTCTGCCTGTGAGTTAGACACAAGGACGAAGCCACGAGCTAGGGACATAAAGGCAGGAACCAACAAGGCAGCCGAGACTCCAAATAAAACCTCGAAGGACCAACACAAATGCACCACACCCTGTACGCCCTCCTCTCCTTCCTTTTCCGAATTTCCAGAGGATGAAACAGGGACCTCCTCAGACGTCCCATGATGCAGGCGGCCAGAGGGGAAGGCGGCGGCAGCCTGAATGAGGTGATCGGGAAATCACATTCCACAAACAGAAATTTTCCATGTGCTTTACATCCTCTGTCTCTGAAGAACTATGCCAGGCTAACAGTGGCTAGAAAACCGCCTTCAAGTGTCATTTCCCATTTCAAGCAAAGAAAACAGTGGTGGGTCATGAGGGAAAAACATAGCCATGTGTTCTGGAGTATTAAATAAGTTTTTTTTCTGTCATAAACATATAATTTTATATTCTCAGATTTCTGTATAATTGATATGCTTCCTAATTAGCAGACATAGTAATAAAAAGTGAATTCCAAGTGTAAGATCGGAGGACCCGTTCACATGGCTTCAGGTTCTGCAACTGTGTTTCAACTTAAGAAAATGGTTCTGTGCGTTGGTAACAAGGCCTGAGAGTCTGTGTGAGAGTCTGTGTGGCTGTAATCAGGGTTCGTGTTGGCTCCGTAGCAGAGGATGTTACACTGTTACATTATCTTCTACAAAAAATCCTGAAAAAACGAAGGCTGAATAGACATACACACCCTCCCAAATAATCCAAATGTCCACCGATATGAAAAACAGATGAATTACAGTTTCCATCATGGAATATTCCTCAGCAGTGAAAACAAACTATAGCCACAGGTGCCAACTAGGATAAAGAAAACATTTTAAACAAGTTTAAAGTGAACTGACTAGGCGGAATTCCTCGATTACAGGCGTCTGCTCCAAAATGGTCCTGTTCTGAATCCTGTGATGTAGAATGATAGTTAGCAACCCTGTTTCAGGGCATATCTAGAAAAAAGCAAAATAATGACTACACAATTTTAAATTCTTTGTAAATTATAACTATTACTATGAAAATTCTAAAAATGTGAAAATCTTCCCAACTGTTATTGGACAAGCTTCCAAATAAATACCCTGGCCTTGCTTGCCACATCCACAGATGTGCCAAAATAAATGAAAATATAGCCCAAGTTAGTAGAATCGAAACCTGAAGATGTACGAGCCGTCCCTGCCTCACTATCTATACATCATGTAGAAATTTAAGAGCAGGTAGTGACACTGCAATGCAAGGCTCAAACCAACTGGGTATTTGGAAACTTCTATGCAAATTGGCATTTTCGGTTTTTAAACACGGTGTTATTTGTACTTCAAACAGGTAACTGGTTTGGTTCCCTTGGAAAAAATATAGCCATAAACCTAGTCTTAAAAAAAAAAATAATACTGGAGTGGGTATGAGAGAGAGTAGCTTAGAAATTTTAAAAGTATTGGCAGGGAGCAGTGGCTCATGCCTGTAATCCCAGCACTTTGAGAGGCAGGCCCCACGAGGCCTTTGAGGACAGCGGTCTCCTCTGCTGCCTTCCTGCTGGACTGACCCTACGACATTCACTGGGTTTCCACCCTTGTCTCATTCAACATCCCAAGGGTGGTCTTCATCCTCGTCTGGGGCTCAGCTCTGCCCCAATTTCCTAAATCTCTGCCTTCAGAGCCTGAAAACACCCACGCCCAGGGTCACCCTAAGTCCACGTTTACCCCAGAGAGTCCCAATTTTATGTTTTCCCAGCATCGCCTTAGTGATAATTTATCCTGTAAATTCCAACTGCCTTCACACCTCGCCCTTGCTGTCTCCCAGCAGACCCCACTCAGATGCACATGCCCCAGACCCCACACCCAGGTCTGTGCATGCTGCCCTGCTCTGCCCATGTGGGGACCACCTCTCTTTCTTGAGGAATCAGCTGGCGATCATCTCCTTGTGGAGGGCTGCCCTGACTTCCAACTCTCTCCAGCAAAGGTAGAAGCCATCCTCGGTGCTTCCCCAAAACTCAGGCCAAGTATGAAGATGGCGCAGATGTTAGCTGTGCCTGGGATGCCATGGGCAGTGTCCCCAGATGCTCTACACATGGCCCGGGGCACCGCCTGAACACAACAAGTGCTGAAGAAATAAAACTGACGTGCGCTGACCTCTGATAGGGCCCCCTTCACCATCCACATCTGTCTCCCCTCTGGACAGTAAAATCCACAAGACACGGAGGGCTTGTCTCACTCATCTTCAAACTCCCAGGGTCACCCTGGTAGGTAAAGGGCACTCAAATGTCTTCTGAAGGAAGCCACTGGTTAGCTGCCGAGTTAAAGGGCCTCTGAAATTCAGAGCTCTGCATAGAAGTCCAGCACACTTTATTATGAATGACCCCAACCACGGCAGAAGTGGCCGTGGAACCAGTGCTAACCAATTCAGAGTTTGTTCACTGTTTCTCAGTTCATTATCACAACTCATTCTCACAGAGCAGCCGCGCACAGATCCTCAGACGTCTACACAGAGTGGGCCGATGGCGCCGAGTCACGTCAACGTCCTGTTGCAGACTGGGAGACACCGGTCAGACACGGACCCAGGCAGAGCACAGATCTCGCGTTAAATTGGCTCCATGTAAACAGCACTCCCTGCCAGGCCCTTTCCTATCCGCACAGCTTCTACAAATTCAACTCTCGCACCTGACACCTAAGAATACTGCACACCCCCATGTGAACCCCCCATTTACCTCCCAAATGACCTGGCATGGCCGAGTACAAAAAATTTCAACATAAGGGAACTGGAGGGCATGTGCGGCTTTCTCGAGTCCCTGCTGCCTCCTAATGGGAGGGCCCAATGCTTCACACCCCGAGTGAAGGGCGGGTCTCTTCGGCCCCCCGGCTTTGACCTGGAGCTTAAATCAGCATTAACTAAATTTCACTTTCCAGGACCAACTTCAAAGGCCTGCAAAGCCAGAGAAGGGAGAGGAGATGGAACACGCCCTCACCTCAGACCTGCTGCAAGCACGTACTTCTCAGATGCGTCCCAAGGTGCACAGCGTGTCCGTTGCCTGTTTCACATCCATCGACCTGCAGGTCTTCTATGTGGCATCAGCCTCCTGGGCACTGGAAACAAGAGGAATAATGGCAAGTCCCCTCTGCAGCAAAGGTGAGGAAAAGGGACCCAACGCAATGGAACTGTCCTTTTTCTGACAGTCTCAAAACAGAAGGAAAATACTGTACAGCCAACTTCCCCTCACGCAGGTTTATTTACCTGTGACTCAGAGGCCATGACAGACAACTTCAGGTTCTCACCGATTCCTATTTTCCCCATCCAGGAAGCCTTTGTTTTTAATATCGTACGAACTTGCCATTTTGTAGACCAAAAACAGCAAATATTGGCAGTTTCCTACAGTTCAACCGAATAAAATAGGATCATGGCCTTTAGTGAAACCATGAAGAAAAGGTGGATATCTCAATATGTGTTTCCAGACTGGCTTTGTTCCTGAAGCACTAACTCTGTTCACTCAGGATTTTAGACACTGAAGAATAAACATCAATATCCCACCAAGAAAACCAAAAGGATGAAATAATTTTGCATCCACCTTGGAGCCTTTTTAGGACAAGGCAGGACACAAACTTTTAAAAAGCTGCAGTTGTCCCTCTGTATACACAGGGACATGGATTCCAGAACACTCCCCGAGTTTACCCAAATCTATGTATCCACAGGACCCGCGGCCACCCTATGGAACCGCATGTAGGAAACGTCGGCCCTCCACAAAGCCAGGTTTTTTCAGTAAGGGTTGGTTGGAAAATAATTACCATAAGTGATCCTTCGAAGCTCAAAACCTATGTTGTTCAGGGTCAGCTGCATTTACTACTTGTGTCATATCTGAGGCCTGAAAGCCATCATTCTCGATACCTTAACGTGATGGTTAACAAACTAACTGTTCTGATTAGAAAGAGGAAAAAGCTTATTTTTAAGCTGACAATGAGAGTGGATGTGCTACGGTGAACGGAGAACAGACCTAAGCAAGCACCAAGGCTGGGGTGACTGCCTGTGCTCAGACGCACCAGGGCGTGTTCCTCCATCTCCCTCTGCTGAAAGGGGTAACGGCTTCTCCCCCACGAGTAAAGGGCCTTTTTTAAATATTCACACGAGAAGTGCTATGAAAAGCTGAAAGGTCACAGATAACATTTTTAAAAATAAACATTAACGTAAGCATTTAACAAGCCCATTATGATTAAAAAAAAAAGGTATTAAGTTCTTGGGTGTGGTGGCTCATGGCCGTAATCCCAGCAGTTTGGGTGGCCGAGGTGGGTGCATCACCTGAGGTCAAGAGTTTAAGACCAACCTGGCCAACATGGTGAAACCCCGTCTCTAACGAAAATATGAAAATTAGCCAGGCATGGTGGCAGACGCCTATAGCCCCAGTTACTTGGGAGGCTGAGGGAGGAGAATCACTTCAACCCGGGAGGGAGAGTTTGCAATCAGCCAAGATCATGTCATTGCACTTCAGCCTGGGCATTGAGTGTGAAACTCCATCCCAAAAAGAAAAAAAAAAGTATAAAGTTTTCCTTCTAATGAACCTATCATTCAGCCACCGAGGTATACTATAGCTACTTATTCAACCATGAGATACACCACAGGAGATATAGGCGAACAGGACACAGTTCTTCTCTGAAAGAAGGCTGCACCCTCAACAGAAGGGAGGCACACCCTCCGAATGGAATCGGCATAGGGAACAGATGCTGCTGCAGGTGGAACTGGCTGCACAGAGCACCCGCTCAAGTGTCTGAGAAACAAGGAGCCGTTGATGCCATCACCTTCCATACCTGAGCTGGGGTAGTGGGGAGCCTGTCATCACCACCACCACCACCCGGACAAAGAGCCCCAGAACCACACAACGAGCTTACAAACTCACCGAGGCGATGACCGAGCAATGTGCGTGGAGTGATGCGAACACGCAGACGTCAGGGCCACGCGCAGCGTTGGTTTTGTGCATCAACCTGAGCGTGCCCGGGGTGCCCAGATGGCTGGTTCTGCATTATTTCTGTGTGAGATGCATGTTTGCCTCTGGACTGAGTGGAGACCCATCCTCGCCGGTGTGGGGGACACCACCCCATCCACCCAGGGCCCGAGTAAAACAGCAAGGCGGGGAAAACTGGGTTCACTCCACCTATCTGGCTGATGGGCCAGTGACATTTGTCTTCTGCAGCCCATGCTCCTGGGTCTCAGCTCCTCAGACCCGGGTGGGATCTGCACCCTCCGCTTCTCAAGTCTTCAAGCCACACCCTCCCAGGACTCTAGCTTGCAGGCTGTGGGTCCTGGGGCTTCTTGGACTCCGTACCCCTGCAACAGCCCTCCCGCTGGAGACACATGCACACCCGGCTGGCTGTCTCTCTGGAGAGCCCTGACCAGAAGCCGCCCCTAAAAGTGGTCTTCAGAGTTTCTTTCTAGCCCTAAGATCCTAGCGCCCCTCCTACAATTCTAGGCGGAAAGGTGAACGGAGACCAATGGACAGAGTTGTGTGCGAGGACACGCCAGGCAGCAGCACTGGGCAGGAGGGCACTAACGCTCACTAACAAAAAATCAATGTTGCTTGCCACAAAAATGAGAATCGTCAAGATTTCTTCAAACAGAAATGAGTTTGTTTCATGATTTGCTCTTAATACATAAGAAAGCATAAAAGTAGGCCTATTAACAATTACGTAAATCTTTAGAGGCCCTTGAACTACTTCTGTCCCTTTGTGTTTTTATACAAAATAAGCCTGAGGTTAAAGAGAATATCATCACTGGCCACAGCTGGGGCCACGCGAGGACACAGCTTATACCCCCTGAGGTCCCTGGGTGCCCCGAGTCCTTCCCTTGCTATTTATGGAAATATGGGAGAAACCAGGAGGTCTGAGCATGGACCTGGCCGTGCTCCCAGGGGCCGAGGAAAGCACCCATCTGTCCAGTCTTCCCTCCACCCCGCGGTTCCCTCCTACCCAGCCACTTGGGCTGACGTGGCTCATGCACTCAGCAGCGCCATCATTAAACGTTTAGCTTCGCATCACGAGGGCCTCCTCTGACCACTCCTGAACCTACAGTCAGCACTAGTCTACAGGACACGCGTGGACAAGGTTGATGGATCATGGCCTCCAACGAAGAAGATGCCAGGCAAGGAGTCGGAGAGCCGGGGATGGAGCAATACTCACCCACGGAGGCGAAGGCCAAAGCGGCCACCACCGAGGACCTCCCTTCCTACCCTGAGGGCAGCTCACCCAGGGAAACGAAGGCCGACACCGCCCACCACTGAGGGCCTCAAGGGCTCTCCCCACCCTGAAGGCGGCTGCGGTCACATTTCTCATCGCACCAAGAGACCCGTGTATTGAGCACAAACCTTTTCAACCTTCAAATCAATAAGGAATCACAACACGGACATTCCCTCAATCCAAATGGCCAGCCCACAAAACAGACATGCAATCATACACATTTCCTGTGGGAAAATCAGTCAGTCCCTGGGGCCTTGCGCCAGGGGTGGGGGAGCAACATGAGGAGATGCCGCAGCCCCAGCCTGGCTCTTCCCTCTACAGCTCCTTTTCCCTTCTCTTCCCACCGCCCCTTCCCACCCTCTCCTAGCCTCAGAGGCTCCTTCCTCAAATTCTTTCCCCTTGATGAAGTCATTCATGCCCAAAATACAAGGCAAAGTCATGGGGGCTCAAGAGAAAATCCATACCGTGGCTCGCGTTTTAGATTCTCATAAGTTTGAGAATAACCAAGCAAGAATCTTTGGCATCTGAATGTGGTCTGAATGCATCTGAGCTCAATGTCCGGCACTGGCCCGGAGTGGATCATGGGTGTCTCGGACATCTTCGTAACTCTACACCAATTATTTTGAAACACCCTAGCAGAATAGAACCATGTGAATAGCTACTTCTCAGTTAAAATTAGGAAAAGACTCCAAAAGTTGCCCTCAAGGAACATCCTTCCCACGAGGAGTTTCTGCGAGGAGTTTCTGCATCGGGCCCTTCAGGCACAGACAAGGCCCCCGGGCCCAACTTCCTCATCCCTGCATTATAAAGCAACAAAGACGGTGGGGAATAAAGCAAGTGAAGGAGTCAGTCCCGCACAAAACGGGCTCCAGAAGCCACAGCCACTCTCCCAGTGTGGGAGCCAAGTTCAGAGACCTGGAAACACCAGCATTCCCAGGGAGGAGGGCAGAACAATCATTTCCCCCTAGTTTAGGGAGACACCACCCCACGTCCTCTGGCCTTAATAGAAGAGAGACTTCACATAAATGATTTCAATGACTCCACCACACACAAAGTGGGCTAAGGGCTAACACACCCATTCAAATGCCTGGCAAAAACACATTAAATGAACACACAGATAAACAAGGTTCTCCTGTTATCCACGAAATATTCAGAAACAAATCCAGTAAGCAATCTCTTTGCAATCAAAAGACCAATTCAGAGGTGCAGATTAAAAAGAAACATACAACTGAACCATTAATACACACCAAGAACCACGTTCCAAGGAAGTGTTATCACATCACCACCTCCAAGCTGCAGGAAGAAGCACTGGCCATGGACCAGCTGTTCACTCGTGGGTCAGTGAACGAATGGCAGTGCTGTCCAGGACAACGATGAGATATTAACCTGAAAAGGGCAAAATGGCAGAGGCTGGAGGGACCTTCCAGGTAACCCGGCCCCTCAGTGGACAGAGGACCCCCGTAGGGCCACAGAGCCCAGAGCCCCAGTGTGTTCGGGGCAAGCACTCAACTGCAACCCTGATGATGCCCGAACGCCTTCTGCCCTTCTGCATCTCTGCCCCACTAACAGGGAATCCATAAATGCTAAGGAAATGTAATGCATTTCACAATACCTGTAGATTTTTAGCAAATTAAAGATAAACAGTGACAAACTTTGAGAATTAACCAAAATATAGTTCCAGTGAATGCCCAAACTCAAAGCTAGTCTCCAAGAGGTGATAAGCTGTGTGTGGTGGTTAACGCCTGTAGATCCCAGCAGTTGGGGAGGCTGAGGCAGGAGAATCACTTGAGCCTAGAAGGTTGAGGGTGCAGTGAGCTGTCATTGTACTACTGCACCCAACCTGAGAAACAGAGTGAGACTGTCAAAAA